CACTCCTTTTCTACAATTTTATCTATTCTTCAAGGCCTAGCTGAAGCTCTAGTTTCTCCTGGAAGCCTTTACTGGCCACTCTTACCTAACTGGTTTCTTCTTCCTCCAAACTTCTATCAATCTATCCTCCCACTGTGAGAATCAGATGCTAGGACTCCACTTGCCCCGGGTTAACAGAGGGTGGAGCACTGAAATATGAGCCCAGGCAGGTTTTACTGTTCTAGAAAGGTTTTAAGAAATATAGTTCTGCCAATAGATTATCTACTTTCTGACAGTCAGCTTATCTTAATGTCATCACAGCATAGATTTAGAGCTGGAAGGGACCTTAGAGGCCCCTAACTCCAACTTCCTTATTTTATAGATGAGGAAACTGAGGTACAGAGGTTAAGTGATTTATCCAAGTTCACATAACTGGTAAGTGTCTGAGGTGGATTTGAACCCAGGGCTTCCTGACTTCAAGTCTAGCTCTCTGTCCACTATTCCATACTGCCCTTATAGCATGTACAGAGAGTTTCATCACCAGAAGCCTGGCCCATTTGGCAGTGAATTCTGTGTCCATAGAAATTCATGAAATATACAAAGAAATTCAAGAAAAATACAAAATGGCCCACAGTCCTTTGTAGCTGCTTTCTTTCTGCAGGGGCAGTAGCAGAACAGAAAAGGATTACTAGATGGCACAGAAGATAGAGGGCTGGGCATGAAATCAGAGGCACGTCTACTAGCTGTGTTACCCTCATCAAGTCATTTGACCTCTCTGAGTCTCAGTTTCCACATCTGTAAAATGGGAATAATAGCACCTACCTCCCAGGGTTGTTGTGAAGAATTCAGAATTACACTTCTTGAAAAGTTTTTAACTTGGTAGAACTAGCCTGGATTTATACTCCAGTGGCACAGTCCTTGTTAATATAGGTAGAACACTCTATAACCTTAAAATATTACATATGCTAGCTTTCATCATCATCATCATCAAAGGGGGGGCATAGAGTGCTAAGAATCACACAATTTTTAGACCATCTCTAAACACTAGCTTATATATTGGTGCTCTACTACTGATATTCTTGTCCATTGACCAATGAAAAAATGTGCTTCTAGAGGAACTGAAGCCTATCAACTTGACATCTTCTCTATGATTAAGCCAGAAGACCATAGGAAGTTACAGTCATAAGGAAGGATGGCTCACAGGTTCTTCTTAGAGAAGGAAATGAAGGAATTGGCAGAGCTAGTTTTATTGTTCATCCAAAGGCAAGAAGAAAAACGTTTTCAAGAATACTTGGTCATCTTGTATTGCAGTGGCCTTGTCAAACGTCTGTAAAAACGCCACCATGGAGATAATGGCAGCTTTGGTGCCAGCATCTGTTATAGGGGATGATGAAAGTAAAGAAGTTCTAAGAAGAACTCAGTAAGGTCCTCCTTATTAAATCAATTTCTATTTTAATATGCTTAGTGACTTCAGCGGGAAGATAGGCATAGGGGAGAAAAGCAAAAAATAGTGGAAAACATGATCCCAATAAAGGGAGATACAAGAGCAGCTAAAGAATTATCAAAGTGATCTCTCTCTCTCTCTCTCTCTCTCTCTCTCTCTCCTTCCCCCTCTCTGCTTTTCTCTTTCCTCCCTTCTTTCTTCTCTCTCTCTCTCCTTTCTCTCTCTTTAGAAATATATATATATATTGTGCACACACATACACATGTGTGTGTATCAAATGGAGGCTTTCTCTAAGAAGAGTTTTGACATATGGGGAAACTGAGACCCAGAGTGGGTAATTGCTTGAAAGAGGTAAATATCAAAACACACACACACACACACACACACACACACACACACACACACACTCACACACCAAATGCGTAGAATCTTAGAATGTTAGAACTGGGAAGTACCTTACAATGTAGAATGTTTGAACTAGATGGAACCTAGAATATTGGAGCTGGATTATAAATTTTATAAAGTGCAACCCTGTCATTTTATAGGCCCATTTAACATTGCAACAGGTATTAAAACACAACAGTAATAACCTGTATTAAAACACAACAGTAATAACCTCTATCCCTGGGGTGGGAGTTAGTTTTTGCCTTGGCTCTGTCCCTTAATTTCTGTGTGACTTTAAATAAGTCTGTAAAATGAAGAAATTGGTTTAGATCAAGGGTTCTTAACCTGGGGTCTATGAGTTTGTTTTTTAAACACTTTGATAACCATATTTCAATATAATTGGTTTCCTCTGTAATCTTATATATTTCATTTTATGCATTAGATAAAAATAATTTTGAGAAAGGGTCCCTGGGCTCCACCAGACTGCCTAAGGCTCTCCCTACTCTAAGTCCCATGATCCTTGGATCTTCTCTTGGAGACAAACCAGGAATGACCTCTCCTGGATTGGGCAGTATGAGAACCAGTCAAGGTCAATTCCTGACCATTCTGAAACACATCCTCAGCAAATTATGCCTCTCTGTAAACAAAGAAACATTTTACATTCTCTGTCAGAACAATGAAACAGTACATTTCAATCCTGTAATTGTTTACATACAATACGGCCACCACAACATGAAGAGATTCTAGAGTCTAAAGCCAGAGGGCCCCATCTGGTCCAATCTAGCCCAATTAGTCTTGAGCATAACTAGTCCAATCTCCCTCTTTTTACAGGTGAGGAAGCCGAGGTCAGAAAAGTCACATGATTTGCCCAAAGTAAAACAGACAATAAGTGTCAAAGGCTGGATTTGGACCAGTCTTCTGATGCGAAAGTCTACAGTTTTTCCATCGTAACATGTTGCCTCAAGATTCAAATAGAATGTAGCTAAAAACCTCTGAAGCAGTGCCCTGGGGTAGCTACAGTGCCTCCCTGGAGGTTTCCCAGAAGTTGGGCTTAGAAACACTATAGCAATTTGAATAGTTTTGTTTGGTTGTTTGTTTGTTTGTTTTTAGGCAATTGGGGTTAAGTGACTTGCCCAGGGTCACACAGCTAGTTAAGTGTCAAGTGTTTGGTCTGAGGCCAGATTTGAACTCAGGTCCTCCTGACTTCGGGGCCGGTGCTCTATCCACTGTGCCATCTAGCTGCCCCAGCAATTTGAATATTTTTAAAATAGCTAAGGCAGAATGTGAAGATTCTTGTGCTTGGGTCCCAGAAATCTGGGTTGGAATTCTGCTCCCAGACTTACTTGCTGTGTAACTCTGGACAGATCACTTAACCATTAGACTATGAGCTCCTTGAGGGCAGAGACTGTCTTTTCCTTTCTTTGTATCCCCAGGATACCAAATTATCCCACTACCTGGCACAGTAGGAACATTATTAATAAATGCTTATCGACTTTAACATCTTAACTGCATTAGCTTAACTGCATTGGATAGCTATGTCATACTGTGGATTCAAGCTGGACTTGTGGTCAATAAACGGCAAGACTGAAAAAGGCCAAATTCTGTGACCAGAGAAGAAAAAAATATTGCCAATTAAAAAAAAAAAAGAAAGTGAACAACAGAGTGTGTAAACTATAGGCCAGTCAGTTTGACTTTAATTCATAGAAAAATTCTAGAATGTCTTATATTAAAGGGATGTTTAGTAAATATCTAGATCACAAAGAAACAGTATGACTTCATTTGCAATAGATCATGCTAGACTAATCTCATTTCCCATTTTTTTATTCTTTTGACTGAGTTCTCAGGGAATGCCATTGGTATAGTTTACCTAAACTTTAGTACAACATTGGACAAAGTCTCTTAAGTTATCCTTGTGGAGAAAATGGAGAGACTTTGGCTACATGATAACACAATTAAGAGGATTTAGAATGGGTTCCATGGCAATATTCAAAGAGTAGTCACTGATAGTTCTATTCAACTTGGAAAGAGGTCTCTAGTGGAATGCCTCAGGAATCAGTGGTTGCCCCTGTGCTGTTTAACATTTTTATCAATGACTTGGATGCAGACATAGACAACATACTTATTCAATTTCCAGATGATACAATCACTGCTGGGGGAGGAGTACCTAGAACTTGATGACAAAGTCAGGATCCAAGGAGCTCTCAAAGGTCCAGAAAGTTGGGTTATAAGTAATAAGATGAAATGCAATAGGATTGACTATAAAGTCATACACTTGGGTTTGGAAAACCAACTTGATAAAATACAAGATGGGGCAGACTTGGCTGGTAAGCATTGGTCTAAAAACAGCTGAGAGTTTTAGTGGATGGCAAGCTTGATGAGAGCCAGCAGTTATATGGAAGCCATGAAAGCTGAGGAGTTCTTGGGTTGCTCTAAGGAGCATAGTGGCCTATCCTAGGGAGATGATGGTCCCTTCTGTCCTCTGCCCTGGATGGCCAGACCTGCAGTGCTATGTTCAGTTCTGGGGACCACATTTTAGGAAGGGCACTGATAAACTGGAGACAAGCATCCAGAGAGGGGCAGCAAGGGTGGCAAAGGACCTTCAGAGCAGATGTCAGCAAGCCCTCTATTCATGCCAGCTCTGATCATCAGACATGGCTCAGCTGAAAGAACGAAGGGTAGTTAACCTGCAGAAGAGGAGTCTTACGGGTATGTGATAGCCGTCTGAAGGTATTTGAAGATCTCAAATACGGAAGAAGAATTAGGTTTGTTCTGTCTTGCCTTCTAAGGCAGATCTGGGTGTGGTGGTTGCTGGAAAGAGTGGAAGTAGGATCAGCTTTGACGTTAGGAATAGCATGAAAAATGAGAGCTGTCCCAAAGTGGACTAGGCCACCTTGGGTAGTAGTGGGCCCCCAGGATTGGAGGTCTTCAAGAAAAGGTTGGCTGAGCACTTGTCATTCTGTTCAGCTAGGTGGTGGGCTCAGTGAACTCTGATGTGTCTCCTAACTCTAAGATTCTGTGAATGAACCCTACTCCCCCACCCCTATCCCAAGGCCTCCCCTGGCCTCAGCTGTTACGACTGAAGTGAGAAAGGAAGAAGAAGAGGTCATTAAAAGGGACTCACTGGGCCTTGACCTGGGCCTGGATCACCCTGCATCCCTGTGCAGCCGGCCTGACAGGGGGTGACGTACTCAGTGCGGCTCCAGGTGTCACACACAGGGTTGAAGTTACTCTTGGAGCAGGAACACAGCTGGGTACAGTTTAGGAAGTCCTCATTTTCAAGAAGAGAGCTGGGAAGAAAGCAATGTCACACAATCAGCTTTTCCCTGATGGGAACTGCTCCCTCCCCTCCCACCAATGTCTTTCTATCTCTCCCAAACCAATCATGATGTTTCCCAAAGAGAAATAACCTCAGGAATTCTGACACTTTTTCTAGATTCAACCATAAAAATGGGGATTCAGTATTCAATTAACTCTGAGAATAATATTATTGGTATTGGCATTGTATTCTGTCAAGTTACTAACAGTTATAGAGTCCTATGCTTGTAGCTGGGGGAGATGCAACATTTAACTAAGATACAGTCATCCCCTTTAGGAAATCAGCCAGAGCAGCCCCCCACTTGGGGAAGGTATCATCATTTTTAATAATTTTGAATCCTGGAGGGCCCATTGGATCTTTGTGCATGTCCCCCATCAAAATAACTCTCTGCTTAGCTCCATAATTGAAAGCTACTCCTTGCTAAGATGGTATGTACCAGATATGCTGAGCTGGAGCCAGTTTCTCCGAAGCTCAAACTGCCATAGCTACAGCAACCTTCTCAGATACAAATTTCTCTAGGGTTTTTACAGATGAAGCAATTGAGGCCCTGAAAGGTTAAATGCCTTTGCCCTGGGTCATAAAATATCAGAGCTAGAAAGGACCTTAAATGATAATAATTAAATAAGTGACATTTATAAGGGACTTTAAGATTTGCAAAGCATATCATATGTACATGATCTCACTGAATCATCAGAATAGTTTTGTGAGGTAAGTACTTCATATAGTATCTCTATTTTACAGGTAAGGAAACTGAGACTTGAGGATGATAAGTGACTTGTCCAGGGTCATGCAGCCTTGCTAGTGTCAAATACAGGAACTGAACCCCAATCTCTCCTGACTCCAAGTCAAGTGCTCTTTCCATTACACCCCAACCTACTGCCTCTTAGAAATGATCTAGTATAAGCCGTTCATTTCATTGGAAGTTAATGACTGAGAGACAATGTCAAGGAGGCAGTAGAATTTAAGTCTTTTGAAGCAAATGACTGGTTTAGGGGATCTTGGGAGTGGGTCTTTGTGTGTGGCTACCATAATACCTGACATACAAGAGATGCTTAATACTTATTGAATTGAGTTGAGGTTTGGCTAGTACTCAGTTCTCCTGACCCCCTGAGGCTCTTGGAAACTCACTAAGGGATCCAGCATGAGGCATGATTAAAGTCTGTATACTGGAGGACCTGGTGAGCCCTTTGTGGGCAAAGTTCTAAGGTAGGTACTGGGAGGGAGCCAGGGAGGGAGGAGGCAAGCCTCTGCCATCAGGGAATCTTTGGGCTGAGATGGAAGGCATAGCACCTGCCATCATGGAGCTTCTGGTTTGAAAGGCAGATGGAATCTCTGTTCTCAGAGATTCCCTAGTCAGAGATGATGAGATTCTGCCCCCAAAGAGGCTCTGAGTTTGAAAACTAGTGAGAAACAGCCCCTGTCCTCAGGGAATTCCTAGTTTGAGTCCAGAGATAAGAACTGCACCCAGGACATGGACATAAAATAGAAAAAAAAAAGGAGAGAATACAACATAAATAACCTACAAGCTCTGAAGGAATGCTCAGTGAAGGAATAAGTAAAGCTAGTGAGGTTAATCAATGAAAACTTCCTAGAGGAGGTTATTTAGAAGGCAAATATACAGAGGGGCAGAAGAGAAAGGAGGAGTATGTATGTCACTGAGGAATCTGGATGGTAATGAGGGTGGGAGGAAGCCCTGGGGCTGGAGGGAAGGCAGGTAAGCAATATATCTATCAGAGGAACAGAAGTATAAGGTGGCAGATTTCTGCTCCTTATAAGGAAGAACTTCCTAACATTTAGAGTTGTATCCCAGTGGGACAAACTCATTCATAAGGTTCTGAACATTCTGTCATGGGAGTTATTTAAATATTTTATGAAGCCCCTGTTATAGGCTGGCCCCAATGCTCAGGGTCATAGGGAAGGAAGGAGGAGGAGGAGGAGGAGGAAGAGACAAAGAAGGACAAGAAGAGGAGGAAGAGGAGGAGGTGGAAGAGGAGATACAACCTCTGTCTCCCAAAGGCTTGGTCTGGTATTCAAGTACTCAAAGATCAGTCATGATTTAAAGAGTGATTATTCTTGTTCTTCTTGGTCTCACAGAGAAGAGCTGGGAACAGTGAGTAGAAGTTACAGGGAAGCACATTCCAGCTCAAGAGAAGGAAAAACTTGTAGTTCAAAACTATAATAGGCTACCTCATGAGGTAGTGAGCTTCCCATCACTGGAAGTGTTCCAGCACTGGTTAGGTGACTGGCTGTTGTTGGGGATGTTATAAAGGAGAATCATGCTTGAGGGAGGAGTTAGATGAGTTCCTAAGGTACCTTCCAACTCTGAAACTCCCAGAAATTCTGAGGAATTCAAAGAGTTTGGGATGAGGGCTAGGTGGAGGCCAGGTTGGGAAACCCAGATTCTCCAGGATGGCCAGTGATCTGTGGGGTAAAAGAGGGAGGGGGCCAAGCATCAAACAAGTTCAGGAAGTTGATATGATGACGAGGGTGATAATGGATGATGGGCAATGACTGATGATGATTTCTGGCACTTGAAGCAAATTCAGTTGAGCCAAATTGGGAGGTTGGGGCTAAAGATGCCATTCCTATGTTGAAGTAGAATAGAGACAGAGGTCGTGGGAATTGAGAAGGTTGAGGAATTGGGAGACCAGGGCATCTGAAGGAGGTGGAGGCTGGAGTGGAAAACCCATGAGTCAGGTGCTGAACTTGCTGGAGAAGAGAATAGGTAACCTGAAGGTCATAGGTGATGGCTACAAGGTCCCAGACACGACAGAGAGAGCTTTAAAGGAGGAAAGATTTAGAGGGATTGTTGACTGTTGATGGCAGTGGGAGACTCTGGAATGGCAAGTGAGCCTTATGCCAACTCCTCCTCCTGGACTGGTGTCAGGGGTTTGAAAATGAAAGAGCAGCTAGCTTTGCAGATGGTGCCAAGTGTGGGGGCTTCAGAAGAAGGTTTCAGTGAGCACAAGAAGAGAGAAGGCATATGAGATGAAGAGGAATTTGTTAACAATAGATGAGAGCCCCAGAAAGCCCAGTGGAAAGGGAGAGGAGAGGAAGAGAGAGAGAGACCGAAGAGGGAAGCTGTGGAGGGCTGCCTTCCATACTGTCTTTTCCTCCTCCTGCTCCAGTTCCACGCTGATGGAGGTTAGAGGTCCCCAGGCCAGGTTGGGAAGGGGAGGAGTATAATGGTCGTGGGACTTTGGGATGGCAGTAGCCTGGGGGTGGCGTGAGGGAGCAGGCCAGTTGAGTGGGCAGTGGCCCTGACCGGATGTCCAACACCTGGAGCAAACACTGGCCACCCTCTGTTTGTCCCAGTTCTGATCATATCTCTGATTCCTATAGAACCGCAATGTTCACAAAGTACAGTCATTCTTTGAAGAATGTCATGCAAGTCTTAGTTTGCCCCATTTTCCAGACAAGAGAATGGAGGTTTAGAGAAGTTTGTCCAAAGTCACATGGATAAGAAGCAGGAAATCCAAAGATTAAACCCTGGTTCTGGGCTCCAAATTCAGTGTCTTTTGTCCTTCCCGAGTGACAGGCCTCCTGGGAGGGCAGATGGGGGCAAGCCAGGTCCTGGGGTCAAAGTGGAGGTGAACTACTGCCATGCTGTTGTTATGACACTCATATAGGGGAGGAAGTAGGAAAGGTAGAGACCAAAAATCCTAGCACAGAGCCTTCTTTCCCTTGAGAAAAAAGAAAACAAAACAAAACAAAAAACTGTTGATGTGTCTAAAACTGTCTTGGCATGTCTGACACAAGGGGTGGAGGCAGAGGCTGGAAAAACTTGGCTGCTGTTGTCTGTGTGGTGGGACCAGAGCCAGGTGGCATTGGACAAGGGGATGCTGCCCAGGGAAGGGGAGTTTTCCAGAGCAATCTTTGCCAGGGCTTCCAAAAGCAGGGCCAAGGACTTGAGAATCTGGCTTCCAATGAGAGAGGGAGTGCAATGAAATGGGGTGAAACTGGCTTTGGGGCTGGAGGAATGAGGGTTTTATCTTGGTAATGCTCCCTGTGAACCTTGGCAAGTAAATCTCATCTCTTCCCTGGGCCTCAGTTTTCTCTGAAAGACGAGGGGCTCAGACTAAATGATCTCTAAAGCATTTTTTCACTTTGAAATTCTCTGATCTGTGGTCATACACATCATCCTTAGGGGTTGTGGTGATCCCTAAGGATGTGTAGAGTCCAGGACATCCAAAGGCAGGGGAAGAAACTGACACGTCCCTGGAGGAGTCTGGGGATAGGTGTCACAGTCGTCAGTCAGTCAGTCAGTCAACCCATGTGGATGGACTGATGTTCCCAGTTTTGGCACCACTGCATACAGAGAGGAAGCCTAATGAATGATATCTTTGCCTACAGGAGGGACATTTTCTGTGAAAGAGAGGGAGGGGGGAAATCCAGCAGTGGCCAATAGAGAGAGAAGAGCTTTTTGGAGGGTTCCAAAAGGGGATATTGAACAAATATGAAAACTAAAACTTACACAAAATAAGGGAAAATAAGGGAAGACAAAATACTTAACACAAAATAATTTTATGTCCTGTGTCCTCCCTGGGACTAGGGGAAGCAGGGGCAGGGGTGGGACAGTTGGTCCTTGAGTTCAAGGGCCACGTTTCTCATCTAAAACTAGAGAATCCTGGAGGGCAAGGGTTATATCTGCCTCCCTCCTCTCAGTCATGGGCACCTCCCACTGGATCAGTATTAGAGAATTGGGCTTAACACACAATAGATCCACAATTAGTTCAAATACTTGACTGGTTAGGGTAGAAGGAGAAAACAGTAGAATGAAGATCCTAAGGCGAAGGAGCCAGGACAGGAGTTCCTTAAGGCTGGGGCTTATACTTCTGTGTACAGTAATCTGGGCAGCTAGGTGGAGCAGGGGATAGAATGCTGAGCCTGGAGTCAGGAAAACCTGAGCTCAAATTCCGCCTCAGACACTTACTAGCTGTGAGACCCTGGGCAAGTCACTTAATCCTGTTTGTCTCAGTTTCCTCATCTGTAAAATAAGCTGGAGAAGTAAATGGCAAACCACACCAGTATCTTTGTCAAGAAAACCCCAAATGAGTGACAAAGAGTCAGACATGACTGAAAGTGAACAACAGTACTTCTATTTTTATGAGGGTTCCAAACTCTTGATTAGAAGCACACTGAAGGGAGGAAAGATGACAATGGGTGGGGACAGAGCCTGAAAAGCAGTTAGAGAATTGTAAAGGCCAAAGGGGACCATAAGTATGATCTTGGGTCAGTCACTTGCCCTCCTTTCAGTAAAATGAGGCAACTGGATGAGATGATCCCTGAGGTTATCACTAATTCTAACAGCCTACTTTATGTGTTCTAACATTCCATGCTCTTCTATAAAACTCTTACCACTGATAATCTATGTTCTAGGGGTTTTTTCAACTCTGACATTTTATGTTCTATATTCCAAGGCCCCTCTTTGCTCTAATATTCTATATTCTATGTTCTAAGGCCTTTAACTGCTTTTATGTTCTATGTTCCAAGGTTCTTTGAAGTTTTGGCATTCCTTGATTCTAGGGCCAGGGTCAGGGATATTAGGGAAATTCTGTTCTGATATCAGAGTCAAATCTGAGCCAACAAAGGGGGCCCCCAAGGGACATGTAATCTTTCTGGAGAAGACAGAAATGTTAACTTCACCAGCTGTCTCAACAACTTTCAAGTGCCTTAGAGGACATACTGGAGACAAAGTAGTGGGAGGGGAAGGGGAGGAAGGGTGGAAGGGAGGTTGCCAAGGACTAAGTTGACTGGAAATGGTGAAAGAGAAGGGACAACTTCGTCCTCTATGGTGAAGCAGAAGGCTGGGGCGGGGGGGGGGGGGTTGCGGCCCCCGGCAGTGAGGCTGATCTCTGGCTGCTCCCCTAGGGACAAGAGCCCCTCAGCATGATCAGGCCCAAGGCCTTTAAACTCCTGGTCCTCACTCTAATGTGATCCCAAATCTAGAATACGACTTCTGCCACACAAAAGCTTTTCTCCTTCCATAAGTGCGGAGTTTCAGTGGAGATTTCACAACCCCAAGTGGAGCTGAAGCCCATTTACCTAGGGCTTCCTCTCTAATTGTTAGTCAGCTAGCATTTAAGAACCTACTATGTTCTAAGCACTGTGCTAAGTGCTGGGGATAAAAAAAAATGCCCCAAATAGTTCCTACTCTCAAGAGGGCTCAGTCTAATGGGGGGAGGGGAACCCCATGCAAACAGTTAGGTACAAACAAGATAGATTCAGGACAAATTGGAAATCCTCTCAGAGGGAAGGTGCTAGCATTAAGGGGGACCAGGAAAGACTTCTTACAGGGATTTGAAGGAAGCCAGGAGGCAGAGTGCTGAACGCCCCTTCTGCCTATGGCATGTTCTCTGTTCTAATGGTCCATCTTCTCTCTCTCATTTCTGCCTCTGCCATCACCATTCACAGATGTGAATGTCCCATTGATGAAATCTTGGGGCTGTTTGTTGCTTTTTGCTTCTCTTCTGTCTCTCAGTCATCAAGTCCCATTAATTCTATGCTAGCAATTCCTTTTGCATTTGTCCTCTCCTCTTTATTCCCACTCTGCTCCCACCCCCGATCTTGGCCCTTATCAGCCCCTGGACTAATGCAAGAGCCTCTAAGCTTCTCTCTGAATATCCACTCTCTTTCTCCCCCTTTCATGCGACACATACAACCAGACTAATTTTTATGCAGAGATCTCGTTACAGTCACTCCTCTGCTCTAAGCCCTTAAGTGGCTCCTTGTTGTGTACCAAGTTATAATCATAAGATCAAACTTTTGATAGGATAATAAATTTAGAGCTGAAAGGAACCTTGGAGGCTAGTTTGTCCTGTTCCCTCATTTTACAGATGAGGAAACTGAGGCACAAAGAGGTTAAATGACTCGCTTAAACCACACAGGTGGCAAGACTGGAATTCAAACTCAGTTCTAATGATGAAATCTAGTATTCAGTCAAATACCTATGGATGGAGGCCTGGGATTCAAGTTCTCTATACTTTAGCTATCTTTCTAGCCTTACTTCTATGTGCTCTGTGATCTAGTCAAACTGGATGGCTTTCTTTGACTCCCATCTTTCCCCCCTTTCCCCCTACCCCATCCCCATCACCTTCTGGGAGTTCCAGCCTCATTGCCTTTACCCATACTGTCTTAGAACACCCTCTCACTATGTATCATCTATCTCTCAAAAATATAACTCACATGTTACCTCTTCCAGGAGGCTTCCCCTGATCACTTGGTTAGTAATGGACTAAACTTTGTATTTCCCTCATACCCAGCACAGGGCTCTGCACACAGTAGGCACTTAATAAATAACAGTTGAATATTATGGTCCCTTCTACCCCTAATATTTTCTAAGTACTGTTTCTTGTACTTTCAGGGAAAGTTCTCTGGATTTTACAAAGTGATCATTCAGTGATATGGATGACAGTGATTCCTGCTAGTGTTTGAATAAGAGAGGGATAGAGGAGATGCCACCACCACCATCACCAAGGCTCTCCTTCCTTTCCCAGGTAAGAAACCCTTGTAAGCCTCCATTCACTCTCTCAAAGCTCCCAATCTAGCCAGAGTCTGTCATTAGAGGAATAGTATTTGCTTATCTGGTTGTAGCTAATTTTAACTCATATTGACAAACATTTACTACCCTTTGGTGCATGTTTTCATGAGTGCCTTCTGGAGAAAATATCCCTTCTTTTATGGCCTAAACTAGGGATTCTCTTGGAGAAGGAAATGGCAAATCACTCTAGTGTCTTTGCCAAGAAAACCCCAAAATGGGGTCACGAAAAATTGTATGTGACTGAAATGACTGAACCACAAAAGAGATTCTCTAATTGGAGAAATTTCAGATCTAGTAGAAGGCTAGGACTAGCGGAGAGATTTTGGGGGCAGGTAACATCTTGTGGGGCTCCTCATTTCCTGCTTCAGGGATTACCACCTAGGCCTATGCCAAAGATCTCTTTTCTTACTCACCTGGGGCCGTAGACATTGGCGATAGGGTGGGTGGGACAGCCCATGAAGAAGAGTGGCAGGCCAAATACCATGCAAATGAGGCTCCCTAGGATACTAACAGTCGCACAGCGTGTGGGGCCCAAGTGGAGGCGATGAACCAGGACTCCCCCGATCATGATGCCTAACATGGCTGCAGGAATGCTGATACTACCAATGAGCAGGTTGGCAAAGGAGGCGGTGACAGAGAACTGGCGCTCCAGGAATTTGGGCAGAAAGGTGGCCATCCCAGCCACCATGGAGGTCATGTTGACCTGGGCCAGGACCACAAGGAGGAAGATGGGGTGGCGCAGATTCTGTAGCAGCACTTGGGGGAAGGCTGTCAGGGAGAGAAAGAGAAGATCAGATCAGAGCCATTCCTGCATGGACAGTAGCCCAGGGCTGAGAAGAAGCTTAGCAAGCACCTCTGTCTACCTTCTAATTGTTGCAAGACTCTCCTACGGCCTCCCCAAAAAGAGGCTTGAGCCGTTCAGTGGAGATGAGGATCTCACTATGGAGGCAGATTAGTGGAACAGCCTAGCAAGTTAGATTAATCAGACCCACAGGAAAGAGGAATGCCCTGAATCCCGAGGCAGCCCATTTCATTGTTAGGCAGCTCTAATTGTTAGTTTTCCTTAGGTGGAACCACATTTCTTCCTTTAGAGCAGGTTCTCAAGCACCTCAGGCTCTTCCTTACAGCAAGCCCAGTCACTCACCAAATCCTGGGATCTAAGAGCTGGAAGGGACCTTCCAAGGTACGTAGTTTTGCCTCTTTTCCCAGCTCAGGACTCCCCACTATCTATTCTTTGAGGTAAGCACACTAGATATTGATAGCACCGCATCTTAGGGTTTTTTTCTTTTTCTTTACAGCGCGTCATAGATATAGAGCTGAAAGAGATGTCAGAACCCATCTAGATCCAAATCCTCATTCTACAGATGGACAGTCTCAGGCCAAGGGAGGCTAAGTGACTTATTTATGTCACACAGCAATTGGGATGAAATCTGAACCCAAGTCAGCTTCCGTCAAAGCCACGCTGCTACCCATCCCCTCTTCTCCACTCCCTGCCCTCCCTTCTCTTCCCCTCCATTCCCCTCCCTTTCCATCCCATCCTATTCCATCATTGTTCCGTCCCACTTCACTCTATTCTGTCCCATTCCTTTACTCCAACATTTACCCTCCGCTTCAGTGGCTGGTCCATTGCTGTCTTCCATCCTGTCTTCCTCCACCCCTAACCACATGCCAGGATCATTTTCCTTTGCTCATGCTGTTCCCTCTGACTTATACACTAAATTAAATCCAATCAATATTTATTGAGCCCCTTCTAAGTGTAAGGCAGTGTGCTAGGCATTGGAAACCCAAAGATAAGATGAAAGATGACTCTTATCCTCGTGAGGCTTACATTCTATGGGGGTGGGGAAGAGATAGAAACAAAGCATGTGTAAATAAACACAAGCTAAACTGAGAAGGGAGGGAGCAATAAAACACAACTGGGGAGAGGAGGAATCAGGAAAGTCTCCTCATAGGCGATGGTACCTGAGGGAAGCCTTGGGAGAAGCCAAGGGTTCTAACTGGAAGAGGTGAGAAGTGAGTGCATTCCAGTATACAAAGACAAGAAGTAGAATGTCCAGCTCAAAGAACAGCGCATCTGCTAGTTGTGCCGGAATGTCAGGAGCACGAAGGGGTATAATGTATAATGTTTGGAAGGGTTGGCCCTTTCCTCTGATTTGCTTCCTCTAATTCCATTCATCCTTCAAGGCCTAGCTCCAGCCTTCTATCCACTAAGAAGCCTTCTCTGATTCCAGCCTACCTCCATTCCTATTTCCTCTAGCCCTTCTTGCTTAGGCTCATCATTTGGTTTCTACCATGAACTATTACCTAAGTCCCTACTAGAATACTCTTAGGGTCTCTCTGAAGAACTTTGGAATAGATTGTGAGACATGGGAGACACTGGTTCGGGACCACCCAGCATGGTGTGCCTGCATTGAAGAAGGCACTGTGCTCTATGAGTGAAGCAGAATTATAGTAGCTCAAAAGAAACGAGAGGTGCGCAAATTTAGAGACTTCTCCACCCCAAATGGTAGAGCCTTCAGAGCTTGTATTGGTCTGATCAGCCACAGTCAGATACACTGTACGTTGGCCTCGCCCTAGCGATGTCGTTTTGGTCCTCTTCAAGTATGAAGGACAACTATTCCCTAGTGTTATTTAGAAGATAGAACATAGATTGTAAGAGCTGGAAGGGACCTCAGAAAACAGATTAACAGTGTTAGAAGGGACTTAAGAACAAATAATCTTACAGCCAGAAGGAACTTTAGAATGTGGAACATAAGAGGCACTACTAGAAGGAAAAAAGAATGTTGGAACTAAAAGGGCCTTTAGAATATGGGATTCATCCATTTCTTTGACAAACATTGTTAAGTATTAGGGCCTGAAGTACCATACTGGGCACTCGATGAGATACAAAGTTTAGATGGACATGATCCTTAGAGTCTAGTAGGAGGATAAGGAAGAAAAATAGATGTTTGAACTGGAGGGGTCTTAGAAAATGCTATAGAATAGTAGGGGTGGAAGGGACCTTAGAACATATATTCATTCGTTAAGCAAATATGTATTAAGTACCTATTACAATAGACACTGGGGACACAGTTTGATAGAATTCTGAGTTCTAAGGTCCCTTTCAACTCTCAGTCAGACAATATGCATTTATTGAGCACCTACTGTGTGCCAAGCACTGTGCTAAGTGCTAAGGATACAAAGAAAGGCAGAAGGCAAAAGGAAACCCCTGTCCTCAAGAAGTTCAGTCCAATGGGGGAGGCAACACACTGATATTCTTTGTTCTACTGTGCCTTTGAGATCTGATATTTTACATTCTATGGGTCAGAATAATAGAATCTCAGAGCTGCATGGGACCTCAGAGGTCATCTAGTTCCATCTGCACCTATACATAAACCCTCTCGGTGACATCCCCAGTGAGTGGTCACTCAACCACTACTTGAAGACCTAGAGTAAAGAGGCATGCCTAGCTTCCAAGACAGCTCATTTCACTGTTAGCTCTAACTGATAGAGTTTTTCCTTAGGCAGAACCTCATTTCTCCTAGTTCTTCTCTCTTGGGTCAAGCAGAACAACTTTAATCCTTTTAAGATTTAAGCCACAATTCTAGATTATCTGTATCTCTTCAGATGCTGACTCTTTCATCCTATGTGTAAACTATCCCTCAAAGCTTTGTGTCATCTGCAAATCATATAAGCATATTATCTATGCCTCCATCCAAGTCCTTGGTCAAAATGTTGAACATCCAGGGTTGAGGGTTTGAGAACAGACCAGAGAAAATCTCTCTCACTCCTCCCTTCCTTTCCCCTCCCCTCCCCTCTCCTCTCCTCTCCTTACCTCTCCTCTCCTTACCTTTCCTCTCCTCTCCTCTGTTTCTCTCACTCTTTTTCTTTCTCTTTCTCTCATTGTCTATCTCTATTGCTCTCTCTTCCTCTCTTCACTCCAACTCATTAGAGGCTAGAAAGAATATTATATGCAGAGTCAGGGCACCTTGGCACTTCCTACCTGTGTGACCTTAAGCAAATCCTTCAACTTCTCCTAACCTTAGGAACCTCGTCTGTAAAATGAGGGGAAGGATGGATGAAATGAATTCGGAGGTACTTTCTGGCTCTAAAGCTATGGTCCTCTGCCTACTTCTGGGGTCTGGTTATTTAGTCAGTTGTGAATACATCTAACTGTACTATTGTGTAGCCCATACCTTATCTTGTCCCAGAAGGATAGTATGAGAACGTTTGTCAACTACTTTGTTGAATTTGGGATATTTGGTGAATCTGTCCTAAGTTGCCGACTTCTCACCCAGTGCTAAAATTCTATGTCCTATTTTTTAAGGTTACTCCCAGCTTTGACATCCTCTACTCTGTGATCTGAGGTCCCTTACAGCCCTGGCATTACGTGGTTCCATGATGCAGAACATGAAGTACTTGGCTCTGTCTGCAACAAGATTTACTTCACGTATGTCAATTCCGGGTTGTTCAGTTCTGAAGAGAGTGACTGAATTATGCTGGGAAATGGTGTTTTCTAGAGAAACTCTGCAAGGGTGAAGCAGCAGGGATGGTTTGAAGCTGATGACAACTGAAGGCAGGAATATGGACCGTGACCATTAATAGGACCCTGGTAGAGAGAGGGAAGGTTACCTTCTTCCCACAACCAAGGACATGTGATGCTCTCTAAGTGAGTCTGACCTAGTCTCCCACTGCCTCCACCATGAATTACCATCATCAGAAGAGAATACTACTCCAACTGGAAGACCATATGGCCTGCCTCTAGGAGACCAGCCAGGAAGTCAGGCCAGGGAACTGTCTCCCATGGAACCAAGAAAATAAATACAAACTGTCCCCTGTTACAGAGTAGATGGACGAGGATGGAATTCCCCCTCTCAGTGTTCCTCATCCCAAACACTCTGTCCCTTCCTGGACTTACACCCTTAGCTGTACAAACAAAGAGCACAGTCATAAATAGTTAGAACTGGGAGGGAACTTAGAGATCATCTGTAACATCCTTGTTTCACAAATGGAGTAGCTGAGGGGGAGGGGTGGCATGAAACATCAGAGCAAGAAGAAACCTTAGCACATAAAATGTTAGCACATAGAACTTAAGCTGGAAGGGGCCTCCTATGCAGCATCAATCACTAACTCCCACATTTGCGGGAAGGAAACCAAAGGGCAGATCAGGGAAATGATCTAACCAAGCTCATGAGGCAAGCTGCCTAGAAATACTTCAAGTAACAGAGAGACCTTGTGACAGAGTTGAGCTTAGAACCCAGGGCTCCTGACACTCAGGATTGAGTCCTTTCCCTGCACATGGGAGTCTGCAAAGCAACTGGCTAAGTTTTCCAAAGTCACCTTCTCTAAGAAGCCTCTTGGATTAACCCTACCTTGTTCAGATCCCATCCCTTCTTTTCACTGTAGACTCAGTCTTCCCTATGAGATTTGAATCTGTACTTAATTGGAATCACATTGTAAGCAGTCTTACAAAATGTATATACATGGCAGATCCCAAGTAGACTTATAGGTTATCTGGGTTCAGGGGCTATATCTCCCCACCAGACTAGGGCACATCTGAGGTCAGGGATTGTATGTTCCTCCCATCCTAGACTGAGGGCTCATTGAGGTCATGAGCTGGACCTCACCCTCACACCGGTAGTCCTTAATGGTAGTAGGCATATGTTTTCCTCAGACTAGAGGCTGCCTGAGGGCAGGGGTCAGGTCGTCCTCCTCTATCTATCTCCCCAGTCCATAGAATGCGGTGCTCAAGGTCCCTAAGACTCAGCTGAAGCCTAGAGTCAAGGGTAACACTGGTCCACTGGACAAAAGACCTTGTGGTCAGGGATACTTTGGCCTCCATGACTTGCATGTGGAAAGAGAAACCACAAAACACAATTTGGCTGAGGGCATTGGCTCAAAGAACCAATTTCAGTTACTGACCCTAGCTTGTCTTTGGCTTTTTGTCCCTATTGTGATTAATAAGCGTGTTATTGTTTCAAAGTGATCATTTCTTCTGGTCATCAAGATTCCTACGGTCTCCAAGGTCGAGCAATGCATCCTTTTGTTTCCAAGCACCATCCCATATGTAGCCTCACATTCATCCATCTGATAGCATTTAAACATCACTTTTAGGTTGGCAGAGTACTTTACAAGTGTTACTTCATATGACCTTCACAACAATCCTGTGACTTAGGTGCTATTTTTATTCCTATTTTATGGATGAGGAAACTGAGTCTGAAAGAAGTGACTTGCCCAGGGTCTCACAGGTAGAAAGTATCTGAGGTCAGATTTGAACTCAGGTCTTCTTGACTCAAAGGTCAACACTCTACCACACCATCTACATAATACCTTCCTCAGATTACAGTGTATACATAGCCTGGCACTGGTTTCAACTGGCCTCTGATGGTTTCTTATGTCTAAGTTTTGATTACTCCCAAACTGGGAGCCACTTGAAATCAGGAACTCTAGAATAAAGACATGTCAGAGCCAGAAGGGGACTCATAACATGGCACACATAAGAGCTAGGAGAAAACAGGATAAGTAACACAATGTCTGAGCTGCGTGTGACCTTAAAACATAGCTGCGTTGTACCCCATTGTTGGGGCAGCTAGGTGGCACCAGCCCTAGAGTCAGGAGGACCTGAGTTCAAATACGGCCTCAGGCACTTGATCCTTACTAGCTGTGTGACCCGGGGCAAGTCACTTAACTACAATTGCCTCACACACAAAAAAAGAACATAGAATGTCAGTACCCAAGGAGGCCTTATAACCAACACAAGTCACAGAAAATCAAAGCTAGAAGGATCTTCTTGGGAATCTGAAAGGTAGACTATAGAACAAAGAACATCAGAGCTGGAAGGGCCCTAATAGTAACCATCCAATCCAATTCTCTTACTTACAGGGGAGGAAACTGATGGCCAAAAAAGGAAAATGAGTTGTCCAAGTCCATAGGGCAAGTTATTGGCTAAGGAAGAGCTGGAACCTCAGTCTTCCTTCTCTTTTCATTAAACCACTTTGCCTTACCATTTTCCCCTATATCCTTCACAGAGACCAGCACAAGGCTACGTGTGGCCAACTCTCCGTTCAATGAAGCAAGAGCATATCAGCAGTCTGCAGCTTATCCTTGGGGCAGTGAAGAGCCAGTGAGGGTTTTTGAGCAGGGGACTGAAATTATTTAGACCTGTTCCATAGAAACATTATTTTGGCAGTAGTTTGAAGGATGGGTTGGAGAAAGGAGTCATTGGAGGTAGAGAGGCCAGTGGGGGAGCTATTACAGTAGTCCAGATGAAGTGGTTGGCAACAGGGAGGGTAAATGAGGAGAGAGATTTGAGAGATATTGTGGATGTCAGATAGACAGGACTTTGCAATGCACTGGATATGGAGGGTTAGGAAGAAGGAAGAGGCAAAGATGTAGGACACGGACCTTTGGGGGTCAGGGAGGTATTACAAAGGGGCCATGAAAACATAAGTAAACAAACATCACTGTGTCTTACATATATGTTTATCACCTTTTAAAAGTTTTCTTTCTTATTCTCCCAGGGTGCAATGAATAGAGTGCTGGGCATAGAGTCAGGAAGTTCTGAGTTCAAATCCAGCCTCAGACACTTAATAGCTGCATGACCCTGGGCAAGCCAACCTCTGCTTACCTCAGTTTCTTCATGTGTAAAATGGAGGTAATAATAGCACCTACCACCCACGGTTGTTGTGAGGATCAAATAAGAAAATAATTGTAAAATGAGCCTAGCACAACGCCTGATACATAATAGGTGCTATATGAATGTTAGTTATTATTGCTATTATTATTGGGCCACAAAAGGCTTGTCCAACTGAATTATTACTACACACTTCTGGTGACTCATGGTACAAATGATTCTTCCAGTACAGAGGCAGCATTGTACAGTGGACGAAATGATAAATTTCAAGAGAGAGACAGAGACAGAAAGAAAGAGACAGAGACAAAGAGAGAGACAGAGGGAGAGAAATATTTCCATTTACAAAGTAGAATAGAAAAAGTGGGTTATATGTGAAATCATGAATCTCCTTGATATATTGGTTGCTTTACCCAAAAAAAAGTATGCAATAAATTCAACATACTTTTGTGTATTACTCTTTTTAAAAGATATCTAGATGTTCTTGTGATGAAGGTAAAAGGACAGTTCTTTCTAAAGCATCATGAATTTTTGTGATCACTAGATGTACCAACAGTGACGCTCTTACCATGTGAAGGTCGGCCAAATTTGACTTTCAGAATGAAGTCTCACATTGGAAAAGGTTGGGAGCCACTACTCTTTAGGATCAGTGGTTTGACTGGCTATTGCCCATTCGTTCTTTGTTTTTGTGACTGTGTTCCCCACCTCTTCCCATTCCATCATTCTACATTGTCCAGTCATCTCTATTTCCCTTTGCCAGAGCTGGTATCTGAATCTGACTGATCCCTGAGGGGCAAAAGAGATACTTACTTTTTAAAAAAATTAATGAATTTAGTTTTGGTTTTCAACATTCACTTTTATAAGATTTTGAGTTCTAAATTTTTCCCCCTTCTTCAAGACACCATTAAATCTGAGATAGGCTACACGTGTACAATCATCTTAAACATCTTTCCATATTAGTCATGTTGTGAAAGAGGAATCAGAACAAAGGGGAAAAACCAAGAGAAAGAAAGAACAAACAAAAAAGAGAAAACAGTATGCTTCGATATGCATTCAGACTCCACAGTTCTTTCTCTGGATGTGGATAGCATTTTCCATCATGAGTCTTTTGGAATCATCTTGGATCATTGCAGGGATACTTACTTTTGATGAACTGTATCATAGTGAGGTCTGGGGCTATCTGAGACTCTCCATCCTTCTCTTTCTCTGGGGAGTTATCAGTTCCCTGCTTCATGAGAGAGCTCTCTCCCTATAAAGAAGTATAAAGGTATTGTCAAGGGGAGTGCTGGGTACTTTTCCTTTAGCCCTCTCCATCTGGGGCTGGCCATGTTTTCAAAGGGGATGGAGCATGAGGGAATGAAAGGGATGGTGCAAATGGGATGGTAACAACAAGGTCAGGCAGCAAACTTTTCATCATCTCCAGTGGCACTGCTTTCATTCTAAGATAGTTATAGCACATTCACCACCACCACTACCACTACTACTACTACCATTAAGGCCTTGATTGTCCCATCACTATTCTCAGTAAGCCAGGACCATGCAGTTCCCACCAGAGAATGATCCTATTCAGGAGTGTTGCGAGACTCAAATGAGACAATGAATGAAAGCACTTTGAAGCTATAAAGTGCTATAGAAATTCCAGTTATTATTATCATTAGTCATCAGGCCTCCAGTCTGGTGATGATTTTATTCCCTGAGCTTTCCACTGCACTTCAGCTAAGCTCAAGTCTAAAGAGAAATACAGGGGTGTGTTGGCAAATGTTTAACAACTGGGGCCGCGGTGATGAGGAAATATGCACACAAACTTTTAAGTTTAACCTTCATTATTAATACTTTCTTAAACTGAGACAATCAACAAAGTAATAAATCAAGCCATGATTGAAAATTTAACAATTAGCTCTCCCAAGCTTGTTAGAGCTGGTTCCAGCACACCCTTGGATCTGTTCCAGAACACTACCTTGTTCATTTGGGATTCAATCGCCTGAGTGTACTGGAGAAGGCTCATCCGCCCAGTCTATGATCCAGACCCATTCTCAGTTAATCAGAGAGCCTTCTGATAGCAGGGCAGGTGTTCAACTATCCCCTCACCCAAATCAGGACAAAGATAAGGAAATTCAAATTGGTATCCAGCACCTTAAAAACCAAAATAATTCAACCTGGAATAGGCTATTTAGGGCAGCTAGGTGACACAGTTGATAGAATGCTGGACCTGAAGTTAGAAAGACTCATCTTCTGGAGTTCAAATCCAGCCTCAGATACCTACTATTTGTGTGATCCTGAATAAATCACTTAACCATCTTTGCCTCAGTTCCTCATCTGAAAAATGAGCTGGAGAAGGAAATGACACACCACTCCAGTATTTTTGTCAAGAAAACCCTAAATGGGGTCATGAAAAGTCGAACATGACTGAAACAGTGGAATGACATGACCCCTTTCCTTCTATCAGAGGCTTCAGGGGCTGCAATCCTTTTGACCCAGTTTTGGTCTGAGTCTAATTCTGGCTTCTGTAGGATACAGTTGTAAGATGGAACAGGAGAAGGCTTTGAGCTGAAGAACGAGAGGAAGGGACTGTGAATGTGAACCAGAAGACTTGGGAGCTGTGAAGGATCCCAGTGTTCATATTTGAGGAAGGGAAATTTGGAAGGATTGAGAAACTGAAGGACAAGGAGAAAGATTTAAACTGAAAGAGGAGGTAAAGGTAGGTCACAAGGCAAACTGGTAAGACAAGGTTAGTAACAGAAGAGAAAGGAGGATGGGTGAAGCTGCCAAGGTGCTGTTTAAGGATAGAAGGAGAATGAAAAACGAGGCCCTGAAGCACTCTTTTCATTATATAATATCAGTTGCTGTTATTCAGTCATTTTTCAATAGTGTCTGACTCTTTGTGGTCCCATTTGTTTTTTTTTTTCATTTTTTTTGCTTGTTTTTTTTTGCTTTTTGGTGAGGCAGTTGGGGTTAAGCGACTTGCCCAGGGTCACACAGCTAGTAAGCGTCAAATGTCTGAGGTTAGATTTGAATTCAGGTCCTCCTGACTCCAAGGCTGGAGCTCTATCCACTGTGCCACCTAGCTGCCCCTCCATTTGGGGTTTTATTGACAAAAATAATGGAGTGGCTTGCCATTTCCTTCTCCAGCTCATTTTACAGATGAGGAAACTGAGGAAAACAGGGTTAAGTGACTTGCCCAGGGTCATACAGCTAGTATGTGTTTGAGGCCAGATTTGAATTCAGGTCTTTCTGACGCTAGACCTGGTGCTTTATCCACTGTGCCACCTAGCTAGCATTTTCTTTGTCAAAATTTAAACAGTTGATAAATTTGTAACTTGCTTCAATGATGATTTCGTTATTCAAAATATCAAGGAAGAGACCAGAGGAGCTGCTATCCCAGACCTGGTCCTGAACAATAAGGAGGAACTAAATGCTAAAGCGGGAAAGACAGGAACCCTCAGGGGCAAGTGATTTTTCCATTATAGAGTTCATTATCAAGAAAATGAAAGTGGTGCCTACTCCGACATGCACCATAGATTTTTGGAAAGCAGATTTCAGAGAGCTCAGAGCATAGGTAGGGGCCAGTGGTTTCTTATTTTGTAGAAACCGGACCAAGAAGGGTGGGAAGTTCTTAAGCAGAAACAATTCAAATAAGGAGGAGAGAAGGGAGCTGCCTATAGAAACTGATTTGAATCCAAAGAGATCTTATGACAAAGTCACATTTTTAAAACCTATGTATAGAAGATGGAAGCAAAGATAAATGACTGAGGATGAATTTTTGTTCGGTCATGTCCAACTTTTCGTGACCCCATTTGGGGCTTTCTTGGCAAAGATCCTGGAGTGGTTTGCCATTTCCTTCTCCAGCTCATTTTATAGATGAGGAAACTGAGGCAAATGGGGTGAAGTGACTTGCCCAGGGTCACACAGTTATTAAGTATCTGAGGCCAGATTTGAACTTGGGAAGAGTCTTCTTAACTTCAGGTCTAGCGCTCTATTATTCACTGTACCACTCAGCTGCCCCCTCATTATATCACAGTGCCTCCCATGGCATGTATCCTGGATATGGCAGAACCACAAAAGACTTGACAAACTGGATGATTACTGTGTACTTCCAGGGGTTCATGAGAGTAAAAATAATAATGTGAATAGGGAGGCACCATTATTCAGTGAGAACGGGGCTGAATTTGGAGTAGGAGACCATGGGAAAATCACTGAACCTCTCTGAGCCTCAGCATCCTCATTTGCAAAATGAAGGAGTTGAATTAGATGATCTCTAAGATCTCTTCTAGCTCAAGTTCTCTGATCCTATGAAACTATTAAATACTGCTAAAGGTTATGAAGTTTTGGGTAAGCAACTCAAAACCTTGGGGACACAGGCGGCATTTTCATCCTTGCTCTGGATGAAAGGCAAAGCCTTCAAAAGAGGAAGGAAAACTTAGGAGATGAACAATTGGTTAAGAAAACAGAGTCTGGGAATGAGAATTGCATTTCTGGACAGTGGCCTAAAATATAGGCATGACAGGCTGTTGGCCAGCAATTGAGTACGTCTAATAAGAGCTGGCAAAAATGTGTTTGCCCAGAGAAAGCTAATAAATGTGTCATTACAATGAAGATGGAGGCAGAGAGGGAGGGAGAAGGGGGAAGAGAGAGGAAGGAAGAGAGAGATGGAGAGGGAGAGAGAGAAGTAGAACATTTGTTCAGTCTTTACTATGTGCCAGGCACTGTGCTAAGTGCCAGGGTTACAAATACAAGTAACAAGCGAGCAAGTTTCTGTCTTCACGGAGTATGCATTCTAATGGGTTTCTCTAGGGTAATTGGTGAGGAAGGGGAAAAGAAGTAGAGATGGTGTAGTTGGGTAGAGGGAGAAGACAACCTATGGAGTACCACCAAATGAGATAGCATAAAAAGAAGCCGCAATGTGGAAAAAATAGCAGTAGGGATACCCGGAAATTCAAAAAGACAAAATTCAAAAAAGGAGCCAATAATAAAAACATATGGCCTCAGATATCAACACAAAAATGCACAAAGTATGGGTGAACTAGAGATCCTACTTCAAGGAGAAAATATGATCTCAGAGGTCAAAATATCTATCAATCTATCCAATACATTGTGGGAGGAGATCCAAGACAGCAATGTGACACTAGGTGATTATACCTTGTTCAAAAGGTACAGGACAAGTAAAAGGCTGGGGAGGGAGTGCAGATGGCAGAGTAACCTTATATATTACAATGGTGAGGAATTTCAGGATCCAAAGCTGGGAGGCTGGGGGAAGGGGGAGGCAGAGTTGTAGAGAGCATCTGGATGAAAGGATCACAACAGCACAGAATCAGGGTGTGCTGCAGAAAGGTTCTCGGCCAGGTATGAGTTGGACTGCCTCTGAGGTTGCTCCCAACTCAGATTTAGCGATTCCAGCTCTGACGTTCTTGTCTCTGTTCTACATCTCTCATTTCCTTATTCTCCTGATGTTCATGCCCTCAGTTCTGGATCACCAGCACCATTTGCTTTGTCTGCTACTATTCCCCTAGACACAAACACTGCCAGAGGAAGACATGAAATCTTTTAGGCTTTAACCACTATAAATTCAAATCATCTAATTTCAGCTGGGCCCTCAGCACTCCTCAGCAGTTCTTTTATTTATTACTGGTTGACTCTGTGTCACATTCCCTACAGTTTCTATTTCAAATATTGTCCCTGAGCTCCCACCTTCACCTCCCCCCACCCATTTCTTAGCAGGTGCCTTTGCTTCCCACTTTGCTTGATTCTCTCTCCTTTGTATCATACTTATCTCTGTAAATGTCTTATACCTCATGTCCTCAGCAGACTACAAACTCCGTGAGATTAGAGACTGTGTCATTTTGTTCAACCTTTGTATCCCCAATGCCTTGTACCTAGAAGGCATGAAATAAATGCTTGTTGAATTCGACTGGATTCAACTTTGGGGTCCCTTCTATCCTTACCACTTCATGATTTGCTAATATGCAATGAACCTAGTTGTCTCTCCATTTTATTTCTGAGGCTTCTGGCTAATAGAACTGGAAACAGGAAAGATTGCACCATTGCTCCTACCAGGCTTCCAGGATCCCCATCTGGGCCCAGTTTGCCTAGGTCAGCAGGACTAGGGAAGTTAATTAGTGCTTCCTCTTCAGAGACATGATGCTGACAGACGCAGGACTGGGCCAGGGGTGAAGGAAACCATGTTTTCCTGTATACTTCCTCATTTCAAAGTCTAGACTTAAGAAGGGGTAAAGTGAAGAATCCCAGAACATA